GAAGGTTGAGCCTGATTGTGGCAAGTGCTTTACGATCGAGCACCTTCCACTTATCGTCGTCCATCTTCTCAGGTTTCCCCGTCTCTTCTTGAAGGGGTAGGAAGAGATTCTGGTACAAATAGTCTTCTATTTGCATCATTCAATACCTGAAATTTTGGCCGCCGAACTTCTCAATTCGAAGCCTATTGTCTTCAACTGTAGATTCCATAGTGAAAGATTACGTTTTTTTCGTATTTGTGAACAGTACCGTATTCGTGAATAGTACCGTATTCGTGAATAGTACCGTACACGTGAATAGTATCAAATGCCTTAAAAGAGTAAATATTAATCTAACTTATTTTCTGATGTGGAGGATCCACTTTTCGTGGCAGCCACAGAGCATACGATAAGCAGATATATATACTCTAAGTCAGGCTCTGATACCAGTTGTTAGGATACACCCCAATAAGAACGCCTCTAACGGAGACGTAATACACAAAATAAAGGCACAAGATCAACCAGAGTACTCACAGATATACGTGGTTCACTCCTTCGGAGCTACTCCACGGTGCAACGACGACGCCAAATTCTTTTATATCCCAAAAGAATAGATCAAAGAGAACACCTTCTCTTGATCAGATACACTCTAAGAACTCTCACAATCTTTCTCTGTGTTTTCTCTCTTACTCTTCTATGAGAGGAGTTGTTTCTGGGATGAGATTTTCTTAAGAGTTTAGGGTCCTATTTATAGTGTTTGGGAAATACTATGCACAAATAAAATATTATTAGTGGGACCCACCACTAATAATAAATAATTGTGGGACCCACATCCTTTTTCTCATTTTCAAAGAAACCGGCCACCGATTTCTCAAACGTCAAAAAATGGGGCTGCTTTTTCTCAAAGGTCAAGAAAGGTTGGCTGGGGCTGCGACTAACATAAAATGGCATCAGCTCGCACTATGTCAACAACTTACATAAAGAGACATCTGAATTGATGAATGACTTCTCACAATCACATAATTTTTGCAATAGATTGAATATTCAATCAAGTTCTCACAATCAACAACTTACAAAGATACACAATAGATTGAATATCCAATCAAGTTCTCACAATCACATAATTTTTGCATACTATACATACTACAAAGATACACAATAAAGTTGGATGCTGAATCACGAGCCACGAGCGATGATGTGCTTATCCCATTCAACCAAAGCCTTTTCGTACGTTGCATGCCCTTTATATGTGGCATTTGGGAATTTATCAACTTGCTTTTTGCATTCCTCCCAATTATCAAAAATGCCACATCGTCGACCTCTCTTCACAATATAAAAACTCTTTCTTGCCATGGACCACCTAAAATTTTGTGCTTTAAAAAGAAATTATCAGTAAATTATAAGTGCGGTAGCAGATACATACATGTTAGGAAGTTACCTCTTATCTATTGTCTTTCACTCTCATAACAAATTATTAGCTGGTTGAAATATATATGAGATTAAAGATGAATAAAGGAAAAGATATTGAGCATACTTTCTTGCCTCATCCACTATTACCATTGGAAAACCACTTGCCTTAAACCACTGCTGAGAAAGTGAGGTTCAACTTTTTCCCTTATCACATATGATTCTCACAAATGATAGTCGAAAGGTAGGCCTGTCCATTCGGGCCGGCCCGGCCCGGCCCGGCCCGGAAATCCATGCCCGGGCCGGGAAAAACCGGAGCCCGGACCCGGACCCGGGTACCCCGGGCCGGGTTCCGGGCCGGCCCGGGTTTTTTTCTTTTTTTTTAAAATTTTTTTAATCAAATTTTTAAATTTTATTTAAGTTTTAAATTATAAAAAAGACAAAAAAATAATAATAAAATAATAATTTTATTAATCACTTAAAATGACATAAATTACAAATAAAAAATTATAAAAATAAATTCTTTATTAATAATTAATAAATCATTTACAAATTATAAGTATAAATTTATTTTGGAATTCATCGCATCACAATAGATAAGTACATCCCAACTAGGTTTTTTTAAGTTTCTTTTCTTTTCTTTTTTGATAAAAAAATGCTAAAATTTAGTTTAATATTATTATATTTTATATAATTATGTATTAGTATATACTTCTAAATTATTATGTAACTATATATTATATATACATATATTATATGTAAATATATTGTATATATTTATAAGTTATAACTTGAGAGAGAGAGAGACGCATATAAGTAGCCGTTGCCCGTTGGGCCATATGGGCGAAGAGTACACCGTTTGTAATATACTATCTTATTATATACCTTATATACTAAGAGAGAGAGTATGCACACACATATATATAAAAGAGTATACTTATAATAAAGTGAAGTATAGCATCATATAAGAGAGATATAGCTATATATACATATATACTAAGAGAGAGAGTATATTAGTATATATTATATATATATATATATATATATATATATATATATATATAATTTACACACACACAGATCCATATATAGCATATATATAAGAGAGTGTATAAGTTATATATACTTTAATATCGTAAGAGAGAAGTTATACTTAGATATACATACATACATACATTATACATATATGATAGAGAGTATTCTCTTATATATATATAATACTTATAAAGAGAAAGTAATACTTTATATACTTATACATATATATACTATAAAGCAGGAGTAATACTTATATATATACTTATATACTAAGAAAGAATAATGTATAACACACACCATAGCACATATTATACATATATAGAAATATATTATATTAGAGAAGAGTATCACATTATCAGAGAGAGTAATACTTATTATATAAAATATATACTAAAGAGAGTATATATCTACATCACAATGCATACATTAATACATATATAAGCCACGAGTATTCTTATATAAATAACTTATATAAGCAGAAAGTATTCTTATATATACTTAATAACATATATATCTTATATAAGAGAGTAATTAGCTTATATATCCTTATATACTAAAAGAGAGAGTATATATATACACATATGACATTTATATATATAGAAACTATGTATATATAGCATAATATTATAGATATACATTATATTATACACTATAAAAAATAATATTATATATCAGCATTATCTATACATATTATATATATTAATTCATATATAATATAATACATAAAAAAAAAAGAAAAAAGAAAAAAAAAATAAATCCGGAGCGCGGGCCAAGGCGCCGGCTCGGGCAGCTAACAGAACCGGCCCGGCCCGGGCGCGCGGGCTGTTTGGGAGCAGCCGCTATCGAAAGGTACATGTTGTTAACAGCATGAAGCCTGTAAAGCCAATTTCAAAAAACACGTCCACCTGTCAAATTGAACTATGAATGCCCTCACTTATTCAAGCCTATCATGCCCGAGCTTTTCCTCACCCATGCTCATTTACCTTCCAGTCACAATTTTGATTGCAAATAACCAACAAACATTTTCTCTGTCCATCTATTAATATACTTGTACAGAAATTGATTTGACAAAACGAAGAGATCTGCTGATGATCAATGCTAAACTAACAGAGAACAACTAAATCGGACTTGTTAATTATATTTGATTTATATTAACTGGGAGTAATAGTGTTATTTACGTTGGAACTAAGTCTAAAATGATATTTTTATAGTTAAAACTAATATCCTTCTCATCTAACTAGTAACAGTAATGATGCTGAATCTGAAAACGTATTAGTGCTCTCTAAAGTCTCATTCATAAGAACAAGTAATAGTTATAGAGAAGCGATCCTTCACATACAGAATGCCTACAATTATCAGCAGACTAACGTGTAACTAGAAACTTTTTTTTTATTTTTAACAAAACCAAGAGAAATCCAATTAATATGCAAGATCAAATTTTAGATATCTCTATTGCGTTTTGTGTTTAGCGTATACCATCTTAGATAATACAGAAAAAGATGGAAAAATGTCATTCACAGTGTCCATAATTTTAGACCATCTCCAAACACAAACAAATACCTAATCTAGCTAAGCCATCAAATTAATTAGTGGTGTAAAACAAAGTAAATGACCTCATAATAAACCTGAGGAAGGGGGCTGAGGAAGGGGGCAGACGAACCTCGATCGTGACGGAATCGGTGTCGCGGCGGCGGCGTGGGCGTGTCCATGCGGACGTCAGGGCTGCGTCGGAGGAAGGGGGCGGAGAGAGTCGAGATGGTCGGAGATTTGGGGAAGGCCGCGCGATTTTGGGGCTCGCGTAGGAGGAAGGGGGGGCGGAGAGAGCTCGGATCGCGCCGTGAGTAGAAGGGGGGCTGGGTTTGGGGCTCGCGGCCGGAGAAGGGGGCTGGGGTCTCGTGGGATCACCGGAGAATTGGGGACGGGATCTCTCATGAGATTTGGGGGGTGGGCTGAGATTTGGGGATTTGAATAAATGGGATTGATGGCATGCTGAACGAAAAAATAGGCTTTTTTCAAATAAACCCCTGCAGCGCATCAATCCCGTGAGCTGGCAGCTCCTTCTCTTTACATGCATACAAAAGTACATGTATAATTATTAAAATCATCCTAGTAGTGCTCCAGGTGTACAATGCGCTCTTACCAAAAAATGTTGGATGGCTTGTGATCCATGACTTAGAATGAACATCCTTAATCGTAAAATAACACCTGAAGGGAAACTATCTCAATCTGATAAAGATATATTTGAACCCAAGGCTTAGCTTGTACTACATATAGCTAATGTGTGCATGGCTGGTTTATGCTAATATAAAGAGTAAAATATATCTCAAAGGAAAGGAAAAGTTTAGTGACTTGCAACTCTTAAGGATCCCCTGGAGCACTTCAATATGTATATATGGTTTATCTCTCTGTTGAAGTAGTTCAAAAAACTATTCACATTCTTCTTGCTTGATGAGTGGTCTAGCCATAGCTTATGAATCATCTTACACCTTTCTTTATCCTATGTATCACCCAATTTTTTGTTGCTGCTTTTATTATTTTAATGGTAATCAACTTTACATGAATTTTTTTGGTTCATATTGTAGTTTTGTCTAAAGCTCTCACTGCTAGCAGCCTTGCCTGCTAGTTATGGAGGTTTGAATGGCCGTGTTATATACATTGACACAGAATCAAAATTTAGTTCGCGCAGGTAGTAGCGACATTTATTTGTTCTGTTCCTTAAATTGCATTTGGCATTTTCAACTCTAATGGATATTAAGCTCTTGATAGGATGATAGAGATTGGAGAAAACAGTTTTCCTCAGATATTTCGGTCAGAAGGCATGGCACAAGAGGTTGTGATAATCTATTTTCACTTATGTTATGTACTCGTCTTCTTATAACAAAAAAGGAAACTGTATACACTACAGCAATTACCATGTCTTCTTAATAGTAGTTAAACTCTTTAACCAACTGATTTGATTTCAACAGTCCCCCTTCCCGTCAGCCACCAAAAGAAGTAAAATAAAAATAACGTGGAAAACCTATGGGGAAATGTGAATCCTCTTATAGCCTTTTTTTGTGTTTATTCTTTTTTGATATTTATTATTATCTTAAATTAAATAGCATGGCCTCCATACCATTAACACTATAAATAATCCCGGAACCATGAATTGTCTTGTTTGGCTCTCAGAGGACATGGTACATGTCACGGAAGCTTAAGAAGTTAAGGTTCTCTTTGTCTGCATTTTATTCCAACAATTTATTTGAACTGTAATTATTGAAGTAAATCAAATATTTTAAGTTATGAGTCAGTAGGGTTACATATGTAGCTTTATTTGTTTCCAATGCCAAGATATTCGCCTTGGAAGTCCAACATTGTTTGGGAGGTTTCAATTGACCTTTGATTTTGCAGATGGCTGGTAGAATAGTAGTTCTACGACCAACATCCCTTTCTGAATTCACCGAAAGGTGTGTTTCTGGACCTTCTTTGCTTATGGTTGTTTAAAATTGACAAACTGTTAGGTAATTCTGCTTAATTTCTTATTCTTGATTTTTACAGACTGATCTGCGACATAGGTACGAGAGAGCCATATTAGCATGCAGAGTTATGACACTGGACTTTTCTTTAGGTTTTTAACATATTCTGGAAGGAACGTCATGTAAAAACAGCTATAAAGCAGCAGTATTTCCTAGTTATAGCATTTTTGGCATTAACAACACATGTAGAGAAACACCCTTCGACTCTCCCCTTAGTAGTATTGGAGTAGCCTTATTATTGCTGACATATAATGCCAATATTGTTCTTCTACAGCTTCCCATTCCATGAGTTGTTAGGTACACCACCTAACTACAGATTGTATCATCTAGATGTTTCTTTTGGGACACTTGTACCTTCTCATTATGTCTTAGAACCAAGCTGTAAGGACTAAGGGAGCAATAATAATTTCATCTGAAACAATCATTTATGACTCTTTTTGTTGTAAATTAGACATGTGCGGTTGGAATACTGTGGCTCCAAAATCAGTAAGAAGCAATGAACAGAAATTGCATATCAAGAGCAGTATAGCCAGATCTTGATTATGAATTACGTTAGACAGATATTCCATTTGTAAAAGTTCTCTTTGTAAACATTTTCCTCTAGATACGTACTTGTCTGGTCCTGTAAGTTGTTTTTGTAATCTTTGGAAAGCTAGCTTCACATATGTTGTGGAAGAAGCCCTTGAGAGCTCTTATTAGCTCTCTTGGATGTTATTTATAGTGTTTAAATAAATGAATGAGTTTGTCCCTAACCGATGTGGGACTAAACAATAAATGAGTAAACAACTCTCTCAACACCCCCCCTCAAGCTGAGCATTCTTGTCGTACATGCCAAGGTTGTTACAAATAAAATTCACTCATGCTCTCCCAAGAGCTTTTGTAAGAACGTCTACAAGTTGATGTTCTGATGGTATGTGCTTGGTTCTAATGATTCCCTTCTCTATCTTCTCACGAATTAATTGGCAATCAATCTCTTTATATTTTGTCCTCTCATGAAACACTAGATTCTCAGATATATGAATGGTGGTCTTGTTGTCTCCATACGAGCTCATGTGACCCTTCAGAGAATAACTAATCTCTATTAATATGTCTCTAAACTAGATCAGCTTGCAACTCGGTTTCTTACTCTTCCATGATATTATATTTCCTCCAACAAATACACAATACCCAGTATCTATCACCCGAGGATCTTGCTCAATCTATGTCTGAGAATCCTGCAACTCTCGTATGATTGCAATTTGAATAGAGTACTCCTTTTCCTAGAGTTTCCTTAAAATGCCTAAGAATCCTCTTCACAACTTTCATATGAGGCTTTCTAGGTGCTGAGAGAAACTGACTAACTACCAAGGTTTTAAATATCGGTTATCAGGAATTTACCAGACTGTCAAAATCCTTATCGGATAGCGAAAATCGGAGATATATCGGGAATAAGTAGTATTTATCGGAGTGATATACTAGCAAATAATAAACAAACATAAGTTTGAAAAAATATAATGTTAGTCAAAATGGAATAATAAACAAGCAAATAATAAGATAACATTAATAATGAAGAACCATCTAGGCATCTACATAATTATTGTTTAATCATGAGATTCATAAACTAACTTACTAAGTTGATGTTTAGTAGTTATGAGCCATTATCAATATCTATAAACAAACATAAGCTAATCACCAATCAGCCAAGTTCCAAAAGCAACAAACAGTTCATAATTTGTAAACATTCAAAAAGCAAATCCAAAAGAAACCAAAAGCTCCCAAATCCTACTTATCGACCGATAAAGCCAATATTTAGAGCCTCCTTATCGGCCGATAAGTGCCTTTATCGCCGATAACTCGTCGATAAACCCCAAAAACGATAACCGATTACAAATCCTACTTATCCTAGCGGAAAGCTCCCAAATCCGATAACTCGACGATAATATCGGATTATCGGTCGATATTTAAAATCATGCTAACTACACTAATAGAAAATGCAATATTTGATCTTGTGACTGTTAGGTAGTTCAGCTTCCCTACAAGTCGTTTGTATTCTTCAGTATCCTCCACTAACTCAACCTGATTTGGTGGTAGTTGGATATTGTCATCCATAGGTGACTCGATGTTCTTACATTCTGACATCCTAACATTTAGCATCATATCAAGAACATATTTTCTTTGAGATAAAAGAATTTTCCTTCTTCGATTTAGCCACCTAGATACCCAAAAAATACTTTAAGGATCCAAGATCCTTGGTTTGAAATTATTGTTGTAGATACTTCTTTAAATGACTAATGTCCTGTGCATCATCGCTAGTTATCACAATATTGACAATATATACAACTAAAAGAATTTGATTCCCACCATGAAATTTTCAAAAAACTGAGTGTTCTTTTTTAGCTCGATGAAGATTCAAAGGTTTAGATAACTGCTGCAAAATGTTCAAACCAAACCCTCAGAGATTGCTTCAAACTGTAGACGGTTTTTTTAATCTGCAAACCTTGCCACACTCCCCCTGAGCAACAAAACTTGGTGTTTACTCCATGTAAGCATCATCATCAAGAATGCTATTAAGGAATGCATTCTTAACATCCAATTGATGTAATGACCAGTGATAGCGAGTGGCAAACGAAATAAGAATGTGGACAACTATCATCTTAGCTAGAGGAGAGAAGGTATCAATATAATTAAGGCCCTAGATCTGATATGTGAATATCCCTTTGCAACTAGTCGAGCTTTGAGGCGAGCTAGTGAGCCATCTGGATTTACTTTGACAATATAAACCTATTTGCAACCAAGCGCTTTCTTTTTTGGTGGTAGTGAAACGAGATCCCAAATATCATTCTGTTCTGAGGCAGTCATCTCTTCTTTCATTGCTGCCGTCCAACTGGGTTAGATAGAGTTTCTGACAAAATCTCGAGAACCGAGATATAATCCTGTGTACCTACCACCTTCTTTTCTTCGGTAATATTAGCTGATGGATCCATTACACCTGTGAAAGGTATCGGATCTACCAATATTAATACTATTCCACTTTCATCTGTGTTATATATTCTCCGTTTTCCATTTAATCTTTATCAGTCAGTAGGATTACTAAAGCACTAAATTGTACGGTAATATTTTTTCCTACGCACTATTTTTTAGGCAATTGGGACGAATAAGACAACTGGCACTGGACGTGAGTGGAATGGCTTGTATGAGCAGGACTTTGACCCGGCCAAGGTGGCCTGAATTAGCTCTACATCAGCCTATATATACTATGTTGTAGTGGAAACCCTTGAGAGCTCTTATTAGCTCTCTTGGATGTTATTTATAGTGTTTAGCTAAACAAAAGAGTTTGTCCCTAACCGATGTGGGACTAAACAACAAATGAGTAAACAACACTCTCAACAACATAAATTTGCCTTTATATTTATGCCTATGGCTGTTCTTATCTCTATAGTAATGATTGCTGAGACATGATTAACCAAAGGTGGAATATGAGCCCTCGTATGCTTCAAATAGTTGTACATGTGGGACATCTATCTTATATCCAGGTTGGATATTGAAACAGTAGCTTATCAATAAAGATATGCAGATAAACCTGACGTTAAGCTGTTACAGAGTTGATCACTAGAATGAGAAATATCACCATGATGCATTAAACCGGCATTACTTTAGTCTACGATTGTCACAATTTACTATTGATTCTTTGCATTCCAGTTATACAAAAACTGACAATTTGTCATGTATGCCCTATGTAATTTACAAGCCTATTTACTTTTATCTGTTTGTGAAAATAGAAGAATCATAATTTATAGTCTTTCTTCAGCTTACATCAGATGAAACTGAAGCTTCTCCAGCACGAAGTTAAGTTGCTAGTTATTGATAGCATGGCTGCTCTTGCTCTTCTTACAGGGTGAGGGAATTTTTACATCTTTCTCTCATTGAGGTTACTTTAACTATGTTTTCCACCCTATTAATCTTCCAATATAGCCATCCATGCGGAAAGTTCTGCTATTGTATGATTGACTATCTTATTTTCTTAGTAGATAAGCATGAAGGAAACCAAGAGTTTATCCACCAAAACTTGTTCTTGCAGATTTAGTTTTTTCCTTTACCTTCTCAACCCATTGTCAAAAGAGTCATCAAGAATTTGTGACCAGGATAAAAGGCCGGTGCCTTGTATTTCATTATCAAGGATATGCTGATGATTCTCTCCCCACTGTACAAGATGAAACCCTCATAGAATTTAATGGTGTTGAAGGATTTGGAATGCTTGTAAATAGCGATTGTGTTTTTGTATTTGGTTTGAAGTTTGACTTCTGTGCACTGTAAAATGTCAATATGGAAAGCAGATGGCTGACATGTTAAGAAGAAAATGTTTATTAGTACTTGTTTTTTATATGAAAAAGGTGGGATGAGAGGAAGTTCAGCATCCATCACACTTCGCATCCCCTCCCCGCTGGTTAATACGCACAGTGCAGTAAAAGCATGCACAGACACATCCACGTATTGCATTGTAAAGTTTATAAGCTTCATTTTGTTAATGCTTCCTTACTATAATTATCATTAATCCATATCAGGCTACATATAATACAGATTATGCAATTCCGCAGGAACCTCAGATGAAACTTGACTTTGTAGAGAGAAAAGGCTAATAATTGTATTGTTAACTAATGCAACATATATTTGAACTTCTCATGCATTATGTAATTTACTTGAACAAAAAATTAAATAACATGAGCTAGTATGATCATTTTGCTTTTTATATTAATTTATTTCTTATTACAATGTAGTTGCACAATAGTTTGATGGTCAACCACTAATTCAAAACAATACTTTGAGCTATGTTTAAAACTTAATGCTGCTGTGGGCAGGAAGAAAGGTATAAAGACGCCACCACCATTAACAGTTATTTATACATCTGAATTTGTCCTTATGAGGTGTTATTCTTTCAAATGCTTATGCATAAACAACAGCCTTTAGCAAGTTTTTTTCCTTGCTGCAATTCACATATTGACATTCATGTTATTGTCGGCCCCTTCTCCTTTTTATGTTAAAAAATCAATATTTATTTGATACTTTTCAATGCTTGTTATGTGATCTGTCTATATCTTTTTGGAAACAAGAGATGTAATTTTCTCTTGTCCTTATATTTCAGGGAAAATGAAAGATCTATGGGGACTTCTAGGCAAAGTTCATTAAGATTGCCTCTTCCGTTTCTCAAGTGAGAGGTTTTATACCCTTTCTTTTCTTGTATGTCTGTTTGTGTATAAAGGCTCTAAAATTAGCAATTTATGCCTTTCATTTAGGCAACTTTCCTCATAAATCAAAGCCTTTGTAGGTCACTTGCTGAATTTTCACGAATTCCTATTGTTGTGACCAATCAAGTACGGAGTCAAAGCGGTGATGGATCCTTTCACTATTCATTCCAAGGTGTGACTATGAAATTTGTATGTGCATGTGGGCAAGCCTTTTTGACCGCTCGTGTACTTGAAACTTTCATTTTAAATCATGTACAGGACAGAATTCAGATTTCAGAATCTCCGAGAGGCTTGAATCTCATTTAACTGCTGCTCTGGGGATCCAATGGGCGCACGCTGTTACCATTCGTCTTGTCTTTGAGGCTCATTCAGGTTAGTTGATCTGTTACCAATTTATGGGGGTCTGAATCTCTCAGAAATATGTCATCTACACATGCAAACATACATATGTAGCAATCCATACGTGAGAAAAGGGGTGGCTGTCTTGCATGTGTCATCTATAAACTTCTGTAGTGTATGCATGCACACAGGTAGTCTAAGTATTTACACATGCATATGCTGCCCCATAATGACATAAACACAGTAGGCATGCTCAAAATCAGGAAATATTCCAAAGTTCAAACAATAATAATGGCAGGAGACATCATTTTTTGTAGTTTGATGATATACACTTCACAACTTTACCACTAAACAAATTATCGTATTTATCTTGACTGCACTACCTTTTGTAGTATTCGACAAAAATGCAGAATTTGCAATAAGAAACATTGCTGGTCTTTTAGCAGTTATATGAAATGTTCAAAGTCTTGAGATAAAAGCTCTACTTGTAAAGGTGGATTTTCTGGAGCTGATTTTTTTTTAGTTAACTTTTTGAAATGCAATTGCAGGTCAGAGGTTTATAAAGGTGGCAAAATCTCCGATCTCTCCACCTTTAGCATTTCCATTTATTGTTAGTTCATCAGGGATTTCATTATTAAGTGATGATGGCATTGAAATCATGGGGCAAGAGATAAGCACAATTCACTGTCTAGGTGAATATTTGAATAATATAAGTTTGTTGCTGATTGCTCAGATACTGATGTATTATTTTTTCAGTTTTATTATTTATAAACTTATTTGTTAAATTACAGGCCAGAACATTCTTGACATGTAAGCTAAAATCATCATATGATGCGCTGAGAGCAGGAGTCCACTCTAAATGCCAATGCCACAGACATTCTCGGCAAGTTGTGTCATATTTCATCAAAGTTCAGTGTATTGCTTACTGTGAGATATAGAAGCTCTTTACAAAATCTTTTTTCTGACTGGTATGCACAATTTAGCCAAGTCTTTTTTTACCATTCAGAAACTATTCCATGCTAGAATCATCTTTTAATGTAAATTATCTCATGTAACATTTCATTGGTTCATCCTATCCTCTTTACTGGTATTCGTTACAGACATGAGATGCAAACTAGCATAAAAAATCTGTAAAGACAAATATAAATAGCAAAGCCGTGTAGACCGAGCTAGCTATGCGTCCACAAGAGAGACATACATCTAATTGCATGCTATGTCTTTCTGTCATACGTACACAGAGTGATAAGAATCAGGCGCACGCACGCGCGCACACTAAAAGGGTATAACACTCGGACAAATACACGCACACACAGCAAGCAAATCATAGAAAGAAAAAAAATCACAAGTGCAGTGTGGTACTCGTGCGTTATGATTGGTCCTGAACTGAGAATGTTGACGTGGATGGATGGTTAAACTTTACCAGGTAGGATATGAATTATTTGCATTTATGAGAAGTTAGTGGTTTCTTCATCTGAGATATGACATAGGAAAGTCATTTGAGTTGGGATGGTGTGTCATGGAGGATTTATACGCTTGTATTGAATCTACTGATCAAGCAACTAAGACAAGGGAAAGAACAGATAGAAAGCAAAAGGTATGAGTTACTCTATAAGTAAGTGTTTCTAAACTAAGAGCTTTTAGCAGAACTGAATGAAGAAGAGGAATTTGATTTAGCTGTCTCCAGAACTTTGTTCCAACTAATTTAGCGTTCTTGTTGATGTTCAGATTGTTATTGGTTATCACACTTGAGGTCCATGCAGCTCAAAGTGCGCTGAAACTCTTTCTTTCCATCTGTCATTCTGTATGGATATCATACTAATGGTTGGAAAGACAAATTAGGTTCTGTAACATCAATTTATATTGAGCATAAAACAGTTTGAAACTCATCTTACTGGAGAGCGTGAGCAGTTTTATTTGTGGGATAACAATTACAAGCAACAAAATTGGACTCCAAACCTATAGGCGAAGTTACACTATAAGAAGCACAGATGCGTCATGTAACATCAATTTACAACATATTTGAAAATAAAAATAAATAAATAGAGGATAAGAACTCTTGTGCATCATGCATCGGACACAACAGGGCTTCCCAATGAAGTTCTTATTCTACGTCGGTTGGAATCCAGCCAAACAATGGTCTTACAGTAATTGAAACTGCGTGCACATAAAATTGCATTGGAGACCCAACTCTTTGCAACCAAGTAAAGCTTCAGTTGATGTATTTCAATATATCTATGGATTAACTTGTGCTAGCCTTATTAGCTGCTAAATGCTAACAAAATTTCTAATTTAATTGGCTAAATTACATAAAATTACCGTAAATTTTGCCTACTGTATCAGTAAACTATCATGAGCTTTGTAAAATTCAGGGAATCCCCATACTTTCTCCCACCTTTCACTAAACTATCTGCAATTTAGTCATGTGATTATCATGTGGCTATTTTTGACTAAATCCTTAATGTTGTGCACAGCGAAATCGAAGGACACGAACAAGATAGGAGAACAAATCAACAACCGAACACAAGCACCACACAGCAAGACACTAAATTTTATGTGGTTCAGCAATGTGCCTACGTCCACGGGGCAAGGAGGGGGAAGATTTCACTAATAGAGAGAGAGTACAAATAGGTTTTACAATCACTCAATAATCTCACAAAATAACCCTCAAACAAAACTTTTAAATCCCTCACAAATTCTCCCTTTCTAAGTGTTCAAACAATGCCCAAATCTCAGCTCTTAATCTCTCACCTAACCCTAGAAAACGTCATGTTCCTATTTATATCGAATAGGAATTCAAAACAGGTCAGGAAACGAACAGGGCCCAAAACCACTACGCGGTCGATCGGGCATGAGCATCCGATCGACCGGCCAGAAGCCCAAACTCTCATCCTGTAACTCATCATACATTCGGTCGACTGAACATACATGATCGGTCGATCGGACAGACGTAGAAATTTAAACCCTGTAATCGTGCACCTTTTGGTCGACCGGACATATATGTTCGGTCGACCGGCCAGCGACAGGGTTTCTCACCTTGTAATTTCACAGTCTGTCGGTCGACCGGCCTATGCACTTCGGTCGACCGACCCGTGACTAGTTTTGACTTAAAAATTCGCATCTTTTTCACAGCAAATTACCATGAATTCTATAAAATATTGAATAAACACAAACCACCATCAATCTTTTCACACTTCTCCTAGACCAACAGAGAAACTCTCTTCAATCCCAAATGCCGGCCACAATCGATTCAGTTCTCCTTTCTTGATGTCCTCCACCTTTGAGCTGTGTGCCCCTTCTCTTCCTTGTTTACCATCCAGCTCCAATTCAAAATTCCAACTCCCCAATTCAAAATTCCAACTCCAACGCATTGGTCCAAAACCTTCGCGGACTTACTTTCTGTTTTTGACCCACTCTGACAATCTCCACCACTTGGTCTATTCCTCCTCCTAAACTAACACTGCTATCGTCAGATTTTGAAGTTCCTCTCTTTTTTTTTAATTATACTTTTAAGCTTATGATCAAGTCGACTCAGAGGAGGATCCTTTTAGTATAAGAAAAAAAGATAACATTTATCCAAATTTGTTGGTTTTTTTTGGTTTTTTATCAACGAAGAAAACAAAGTGGCTTTGAATGGTTAGTGAGGTCCAAAGAGATTGTATCATGTCAAGAGGTTTTCCCACTAGCAAGTATGTGTAAGCAGGTCAAACAAGGTGCAAAAGTCCAGCCCATGCATCTAAATATTGATCCTATCAGTTTCCAGAGCTAATTGGTTAACCACACTGAGCAGAAATTGGATTCACATTAGACACTAGGAAATATGTGTCTTCCCTCGTCTTTTTTGCTGGTTGATTGATTGCTGAATCATGTTGATACTGATCTGATTGATCGAGAAGAATGAATTTTTTTTATTGGTTTTGGAAGCTATAAACGAGGGTCATATACAACTGGATGTTATAATTTCATTTTTTTTTCCTGTTAATTTTTAGCACTATCCCTAAAGTAATATTAATTTTTTTTTATGTTAGATATGTGCTGTCTTTCAACTGCAACACCTTTCTGTAGTGCTACTGGCTTCATACCATGTTTCTTCATTCTTGGAGCCCAGTTTTTATACCAATATGATTATCTTATTCCGGGAACTAAAACAATAGCCAATGTTCTAAAACAAATATTAGAGGGCCACTTAATCAGTCGATAAGCCGAAGCAAACCAAATCCGCTTAGAATTAGCATCACTGTTGAAAATAGCGCCCAATAGCATCGCAAATTGCGTTTGCACCCACTACCTGCAACAATATCGACGAAAGAATTGGACCATAGAGCTTTGTGTCATCACTGTTGAAAATAGCGCCCAATAGCACCGCAAATTGTGTTTGCACCCACTACCCGCAACGATATCGACGAAAGCATTGGACCATAGAGCTTTGTGCGCTATTTGCTCGCAATAGCCATTTAGCGTGTAGTAGTGCTTTTCATTATGGTTTCTCAGTTTAATATTCGACTCAAACCCAACCCATACCTGACCCATAATTAACTAAAACCCCCCTCAGCTTCATTTCTCTCTCTTCCCATTCTGATTCAATCTCAAGAAACGAAGAAAAACAACCAATCCCACAATTCCCACCAATTCTGTCGCCTCTTCTCCTCTCCCTCCAACTTCATCGTTGATGACCCTCCTCCTCCTCTCCCTCTCCGACTATTCTACCTCAACCTTTACTCTCCCTCTTTGATTACAACACCTCAAACCCCAAAACCCTTCATTGACTGCCCTCCGCCTCAACTAATACTTCTCCCTCTCTGACTACTCCACCTTAACAGCAAAACCCCATCTCTGGTTGCCTCTCTTGTTTCTCCGCCACCTCCGCCAACTCGAAGCTCACCGAATTCTCTCCCTCCTCTTTAGGATCTCTATAAATCATCAAATATACATTTGTAAAAGTTTTAGATTTTTTTATTTTTTAATATTTATACATAGTTAAATTGGATTGCTATTTGACTTTGCACTTTTTATCGCTATTTTACTGCCATAGCCCTTAATAGTTTTCGTCTTAGCGGCGCCTCACTGTTACAGGATGCTATCCGCTATCAATATCCTTGATTAGCATTAAGCGCTCAAAAAAAGACGCCCGCTTAGGCGGGTTAGGTTTGATTAAGCCCCCGCATAATTGAGTTACGTGGGTACTTTTTTTTGTTGTTGTGGGCTCAGTTAAAAATTTTAAAACCTACTACCCTTTGGCATAAAGTTAGAAATCATGTCACTAAATCACGAAGGTCCTAATGGACATGATTTTGATCAGGAGGATAATCATGATGATTTTGAGGCTCCATTCGAAAAGAGTTGATGCTAACATTTGTTAGGAGGATGATGGGGAAGACTAGATGTTTTGTTTTTATTTTATGGATGTTTGTTTTGGTTTAAATGTTTAATTTAACGACCTTTATTTTAATATCTAGTTACTTTTGTTGTATGGATTGAACTTTTAAGTAGTCAACTAGTTATTGATTGTTAAATTGCATATTTGTTGGTCTTTTTCTTCATATATCTTCTATTGTCATGAATTTTATATATTTGAACATATGATGAATTATTAAATATATATTAAAAATTTCAAAAATGCATAATTCCGTGTAATCCGCTTAAACAGGATAAAAGTATTAAAGTGATAAGGATACTAAGGTTGACGACTAGGATCTATATATGAAGATGCGCAAGAACAAAGTGAACATGTAATGCATCTGAATAGGTTCCCCACTTGTCTTTTTAATATTCATGGAAAAGAGGATTATAAACGTGCTCGTCTCTCTCAGGCATTGTGAGTAATCTTAGTTTGGGGTGAGGATCAAACCATGAAGAGTATCAGTGGTATACTATGAACTCTAGATGTGATATGAAACCTTTAGGGTGAGTTGCTTTGTATATGCTTTAGTTATCGCAGATTGTACACAATCACTAGAGCTGCAGCTTACCATAGTAGTGTAGTATAGTGAGAAAAATAAGAAGTGGCACTTGCTCAACCTTTTTTCAACATGTTCTTATTTGCTTGACCAAACCTATATTTTGTGTAGTGGCAAAATGTTGGTTTCGGGTGTAGACCCAAACCTTAGAACAAGCATGCAAAGCAAAGATTTCTCTAAGTTAAGAAATCGAGCGAACTTGAAAGTTCAGACGAACTTGATAGTTCAGGCGAACTAGGAAGTTCAGGCGAAACTCTAAGTGCAGGCAAGCTCCAAGTGCAGACGAAGCAGTTCAGGCGAGCTTGACTATGTTCAGGCGAACATAAGTCATACAGGTGAGCTTCGCAGTCAGGCGAACTCGCAGAAAACAGATTTCTAATCTGTTTTGACCTAGGGTTTCCCTATAAATAGGGAACCTTGGCCGCCACTTAAACGCGAGTTTTCCAGATCGATCTCCATAGCGTTTTTTGGCGGGGATTTTTGCAGCTCCTTGAGCGGCGATTTTTCAGAGAAAAATCTCGCGCCTTGAGAAATAAAAAGAGAGTTCTTTTTTGAGTGATCTCAAGGAGTTTGAGATCATCTCTTACAAGCTTTGTAATCTTCTTTAATATTCAAAGGAGATTTTTTGTGTGGCTCCCGAGGACGTAGGCTAGTTGCCGAACCTCGTTAAAATTTTGGTGTTCTCTCTTCTATTTTTTTCTTGCAATTTTTTTTATTTGTTGTGATTTCTTCTTGTTTTCTTTCAACACAAGATCCCGAGGGCAAGTTTCGCGAGAGGTTTCGTTTGACAAGTTGTCGATAGGACGAATCCCCACCACAAAAGATTGAAAGGGGGCTATAATCATGGGGAGATGCTATTATTGAACATAAATAATTCTAAGTACAGGATACACAAAGCATAAAAGAAAAGAGGCCCAGCCTTTGACCATTACGTGAACGGGCACAGAGAGCCCACGTCTCCCAAATCACAAACCTCGTATACCTCTGCCGACAGCGAAACAAAAAGTAAATCCCCTTTGCTAACACTTACTACAATTATTTAGTACACCAAAACTATGCTAAATCAGTACTGTGAGCTGTTGAGCCTGACAACTAGACTTTCTCCTTTTGGTTTTGTTCATATTCTCTCTGAACCTCTCTTTATTTTATTTTATTTGTTCCAGCTTGCATATTTGTATCAGGTCTGGGGAAATAGTTTGATAAAGTACATAGTTTGATAAAGTACTATACTTCAGCTTATTATTTACAGTTATCTTGATTGTAGATTAATGAGCAGGCCTCTTTTTAGTTTTCTATTCCCTGTTGGCCATCTTCAGTTGCCCTTTGGAATGTTAGCTGAGGTTCCTTCATCTCTCACTTAATGAGCAGATTTACAAAATACAAAATTAATCGATAATATTTTTTAGTTGTTATTCAACAGGGGAGATTTCTGAGGCTATTATTTTAGTCTTGATCATCATCATCTTTGATGGTTGAGGATAGTTTTGACTTTAATATTGAACATTACATATTTACTCCATGAGCGTATCTTGTTTACTCCACTACCTTTTCACTATCAATGTTCAAATTGGCTAGTTTCCCACATACTTTTTCCTGACATGGTCTATGTTTAAGTTTCTTATTCCTTTTTTGAGAAAACTATGGTTAAGTTTCTAATATTTTTTTTATCCGTATCTTTTGTAAACTAAACTACGGCTCTATGAGAAGAACCTTAATAACTAAAATATAAGCGTGTCGCTGTCTTGAAGTTATGTGATTATCAAATAATTATAGTTTACTGATTCTAAAGCTATGTTTCTGTGTGCTTCTCAAATCAGCGTGGAACACGTTGTGAGCACTAAAAACTTTTCGTCGTTCTGATGATTTTAGTGTTGAGAAGTCTGGCCTTTAGAATAGAGGCAGAAGCAGGTTAGACAAAAGGCAAGAGCTCAAAGGAAGTGTCTGGGTAAACATAATGGTTCAGTTGCTTTCCTAGGTCTTTTTCATGCGTATCAGCAAAAACAATGATAAAACTTGTAATGTTGCGAGGACCCCATCTCCTGTGTATTTTCTTAAATCAAGAAAAAGAAAAATAGTCTAACGTAATGGTTTTTGTAAAGTTTTCATTTGTACGTTACATTATGACACCGTCTTTGTGGACCTTGTTTTGGAACTACTTTAAGCGAAATTTTGAACTATTGGATTATGTAGTCCATTTACTAGAACAAATAAATACGTTGTAAACTTTAACAGTGACAACTGTTTGCGTCGAAAGCTGTTTTCATTGCTGAATCCATTACATGTTTATCGATTACAGATTCAAAGTAAAATTAGTATTTTTATAACTTTCTTACAAAATAAAAATAAGAAAAATACAACTCTCTTCAAACACACGCAGATGACGTTTATTACCCGCTGCTTGCGTGGGATCTTTACCTGTGCTGGGGACGTGTTCGTCCGTGGATCGCCCGGATCAGATCCGGTTGACAGAACAAAAATTCAATGCTTCTGCTTCACAAAGAAAACAATCGCGGAAGTGATAATCTCAACCAAGTGAGATTACGAGTCTTCTCGAGATCAAAACCAAGTTTGAAAGTGGAATGAGCCTCAGATCTTTCGAACTCTTTCTCTTTATGCTGAAGAACTTCGCCAGGATCTGCTAGCCTCTCTGAAATTTGTGATTCACTCTTCGCAGGGACAACACCTCGCCTAAATTTCAGATAGCTTGTATTTATAGGCTTCGGACGCAGCGTTTTCAGATAAGAATTGATGATTTGATCTTATCCTCAGTTGATAACCGCTTAACCATATTTAGGGATAGCTTCAAAACAGTTGGGGAGGCTCTGGAACGAAAGAATCCGGAGAAAACTATCAAAAAATACGTTTTCAGTATTTCTGGGCGCGGCCTTGGCCGAGCCACCTAGCCTTGGCCTAGTCGTTTTGATGCGACTCGGCCGCCAGGTGCTTTTCCGGTTCGGTCTTGTTCCGCCGTTACGCGCATTTCGTCATTTCGCTGACTTATACGTTTCACCGATTCGCTTCATGCATTTCGTTAACTTGGAGATAGTAATATTTACTAAGAAATTTCTTTCAGCACAGTTCAGCATGAAGGACCTTAGAACTGCGGACATAATCTCGGAATCAAAATCATATACTCTGAAGAGGGTATTGGATTGTCTCAATCTCATTAGTCGAGAGCATATTAAGAAAGTATAGCTATTACGACCTGCCAGAACTGTCAGTGCCGTATGATTACAACAAGAAGCTTCGACTGAACACTGGAAGACCAGTAGAGCAGCTAAGGTACTCAAAGATTATTGGGAGTCTTATGTACGCGATGAGCTGCACAAGACCAGACATAGCATTCGATGTAGGAATGCTTAGTAGGTTCACAAGTAATCCTGGAAAGCTTCATTGAGATGTTGTTCAGAGATTGATGAGATACTTAAAAGAAACTACAGGTCTAGACCTATTTTACACTAGATATCCGGTTGTAATAGAAGGCTATTTAGATGCTAGCTGGTACTCAGAACCAAATGAGTACAGATCTACTGGAGATTTTGTCTTCACCATGTGTGGAGCTGCCGTCTCGTGGAAATCTAAGAAGCAAACTATGATTGCACAGTCATCGATGGAATCTGAGTTAATCTAAGAAGCAAACTATGATTGCACAGTCATCGATGGAATCTGAGTTCTTCGCACTCTGTGCTGCAGGAGATGAAGTTGCACAGTCATCGATGGAATCTGAGTTCTTCGCACTCTGTGCTGCAGGAGATGAAGCTGAGTGGCTCAATTATTTTCTCCGAGACCTTCTATTGATAAAATTACAAGGCGCAATTACTATCTATTGTGATGATCAGGCGGCGAGTACTGTGGCCGCAAAGTCGATGTTCAATGGAAAGAAGTGAACCATTTGTCTGAAACATGACTATTTGAGAGAACTCATTTGTCAATGAGTCATCTCTGTGATTGACGTATAGTCTTCAGAGAATGTGGCTGATCCTTTAACTAAGGGTCTAAAAAAGGACATAGTTGAAAGGACATGCTGGAATGGGTCTCAACGTTTTGTGAGTCTTACAAATACTTACCATGTACATCAAGTTATTAGTTTAAATCTTATGCTACTAATGATAAGATAATTGGTTCAAAAGTCAAGTAAGATTTGTAAAGTTTTGTGAGTCTTACAAATATTTATCATTTACATCAAGTTATTATTTCAAAGCTTACGCTACTAATGATGAGATGTTTGGTTCAAAAGTTAAGTAAGATTTACAAGTAAAATCCTATCATGGTAAAGAGGATGGGTGTTAAGCCTTAATGAGTCCAAAGCATTTCGGATGCAGGCCGTTGGATAGGTAACATGGTTAAAGGACTCGCCGATAATCCTATCATGTAAAAGGGATGGTTGTTAAGCCTTAACGAGTCCAAAACATTTCAAATACGGTGTGTTAGATAGAAAACACGCCTAAAGGACTCACCTAGAATCCTATCATGAGAGATGATGGATATTAAGCCTTAATGAGTTCAAAGCATCTCGGATGCGGGATGCTTGATAGGAAACATGTCTATAGAACTCACCTATGTCTGGGTGGAGATTTGAACATCTCCTATAGTGTCTTGTGGAAAAATACCTAGAGTCCTAGCAGAAATCAGGACATGCACAGGGCCATAAATGTGCAAGGCAAAGGCAAGTGCAAGTGTGGTTCAAACTGAAAACTACCACATATGAGTTTGAACTTATGTGATCGTTGGATTTTAGACATGTACTGGTTCAAGTCTCTGCGACACCATGCATCTATCTTTATTCAGTTGGTCTAAGGGGGATTCAAGTCCTTGTGACATCTACCTTATGCACAACGATTGAAATAACGACACCGTTACACGATACTAGTTTAAAAACTTGTGGGGGGATTGTTGAATTTTTTTGGTCAAAACCGCTTTCCAAAAAATAAGTTTTCAAACTATGTATTTATTAATTACTGGTATTTTTCAGAAATCCTTAATACCGTAATGGAAAGTTAAAGTTTTTGTGTTTCAAAAGGTCATGTGCTCGAAGCTTGCCAACGGCAAGTCGAGAATTGTTTTTATTCAATTAATTTCTCATAAGTACTAGTGGGTCGTGGGCTCGTGTGCCAATGAGCCAGGGATCTGGGCTAATCGGGCTGAGACGCTAAGTGACGTTTTGTAAGACGCACTTTACACTTCGTACGGAGGCATCAGGGCTAGGTGACGCTACGTAGGCTGCTTCGTAGCATGCGGGCGAGCCTCACGCTCGCGAGAGGGAACGCGACCCTCGCGTTCACGCGAGGCTGGTAACGACCCTCGCGTTGCATAGAAACGCGACCCTCGCGTTCAGACGTTACTTCATGCAGCAGTTACATCATTTATGTTATTTGTCGTTACAAATATAATTATCATAATTATTATTATGTTTGTAACGATCAAATTAAATGTGGGTGACATTTGAGCTGGTCTTAGAGACCTATATATAGTGCCTTTTGGGGAGCTCTTGGATACAAAAGATAAAAAAGAGATACGAAAAACACACAAGTGTTTTGTGCTGTTATGTTGCTGCTGCAGAGTCTGAAAGCGTGAAAGCTTTAGTTTGTGTCCGAAGGAACATAGCTCTGAACCGAAAGGTTTTTACAGATCGAAAGATCTTTGCCTGAACCGAAATGTTATTGAACCGAAAGGTATTAACAGATCGAAGTGGTCTCTGTCTGAACCAAAAGGTAATTGAAGCGAAAGGTTTTAACTGATCGTGGAGATCTTTGCCTTGACCGAAATATCTTATAGATTGAGGAGATTTTAACAGTACTGCGTCGGTGCACACCAGAGTACTGTATTGATGTTCCTAAAAACAATTTGGCATTGGGATCCTTGCACTGGATAGGTCAAATATTGTTTTAAGCACATCGTTTCATAAACGCACAACAGCTAAATTTGAAAAAACTTTTAAATTACAGCATTTCAGTTCTCACTTTTTTATTACAGATTTAGCCACAGACGCCAACAAGTTTAGTCTGCAAAGTAAATCAGAATTCCTATAGTATTTTATTTTGTTCATCTTAAGCTAAGTGTTGTGCTTGGAGAGAGTTTGAGTTTTGAGACCGCTTGTTTCTCAAAGAAGGGAACACGGGTTTCCTTGCGGAATGTTAACTAGTACGTCATTCCTAAAAATGTTCCTATTGTTCCCAAAACCTTGTGTCACATAATTAAAAATGTTATATGCTGGGATTGAACATTTTTTTTTTTTGTTAAAAGTTTGCTATTCTCACAAAATCGTTTCAAAATTTCCCATTTCGTTGAATAATCTGGGATATGCGATACAAGAATTGGCTCCGTCACAATTGTAGTTTACTGTTACGTGCCACTATCTGGGCCCAAAAAAAAAATCATGGAGAGCCTCCCTACAGAAGATGGCGATGTAAGTAAAAACTTACTCATGTTCTGAGTTCTGACATCAGTTTAAATACTTCGTTTGCATTGAATTTTCAACTTTTTGTACTGATTTTTTTTTATTGTTTGTACTGCCTTATATACAGTTTATACATACAGAAATTTCTAACAATTTGTATATCTATATAAAATTAATGGGCAAAATTTTAAAACAGACCCATTTGAAAAAATATTCCCAAAAAAGACCTGTTTTGAAAATATTCGCAAAAAACGACCCAGTTTCAGCCTCAGGCTGAAACTGAGTCGTTTTTTTGTGAAAAATGTTCCTAAATTTCACGGGAGTTGAACTCCCGTGAAGTTTTTTTCAAAACAAAATTTCACGGGAGTTCAACTCCTTATGAAAAAACTTAACGGGAGTTCAACTCCCGTAAAGTTTGGGAAGATTTTTCCCAAAAACCGACCCAGTTTTAGAACTGAGGCTAAAACTAGATCATTTTTTAAAAATAAAGTAGAAACTGGTCTTTTTTTTAGGAATAAATTTGCAAATGTGTCTGTTTTCAAAAATTGTCCTAAAATTAATAGGGCATAGTCTCTTTTTTTTTCCCCTTCAAGTATCATTTGATTTGTCCCCTCGTTCTGGTG